GAGAAGTAAAATTTTAAAAAATCATTTAATATTGGTAAAAAAAAACTCGTTCAGCTCAAAATTGTAATGTATTTTATATCATATGATTATTATTCTTCATTAGCAAACTATCTTCATTACAGTAGTTTATTCACTGTACAGTCTCATAAAATCTTAACTTTTGAGATTTGTTGGATTTGTTCATAGGTCACAAAAATTTGCTTCATTTTTTTGCTAAAAATGACTTGATTAAGATGTTTCAGTTTTATATGTAAACTTTATAATAAGAAGCTAGTTAAATATCAGGTGGAAGGATCTTATTTTCCTATTGACAGATTAGCTCAATTCCCAAACGACCATTTTCCATGTGACTTATTTTGCTTCTATTATTTATAGTGACTAGGTTCCCTCGGCCTATGTCGCCTCTTCAAGATGTGTCCACTATTATTGGAAGTCGTGAGCAGTTGGCAGTGCTACTACAACTTTATGATTACCAGCTAGAACACGAGGGTACAACAGGCTGGGAGAGTTTACTGTGGGTTGTCAATCAATTGTAAGTTACCACCTCCATATTTACTTGTTGCACCTAAATCAGTAGCCTTGGCACTGACAGACAAAATATAACAAATTTTTTAAAATGAAAACTTGGCATCATCTGTGGTAAACTTCTTTAGGAGAGGATATTTACACCACTGGATATGTAATTATTTACGAGTATCTGTGAAGAAGTTATTATGTCAAAAGGATCTGTCTGCTGCCTTGTTTGTCCAATAGTGACGATGAATTTTAGACTACATCCAGATTTCTCATTTTTGAGGTTAAAATGGATGCCATATTAGCCAAGCTCTTGTGTGAAGTATCAGATCCATAGATTTGAATCTCATTAACTTCATACTCAGAATTCTACCATTAAGCTTCCACATATTTTATGGTAAGCAGTTAAAATTTATTTTCAAGTTTATGCTGTAGAATGTAATCTTAAGACCTTTTCAATGGATCCCAAACAATGCCTTTATTTTCAAAGATCAGAAGAGGTTGTTGGGTTTGCATTGTTTCAGAAATTGGCAAGGAAACAGTAATTTATATATATCCCCTGCCTATTTTTCTTTCCTTTCATATTCAGGTTGCCACAACTTATAGAAATAGTTGGCAAAATTAATGTTACTTCAACTGCCTGTGTCCATGAGTTCTCCAGATTTTTCTGGCGCCTTTGCCGGACATTTGGCAAAATTTTTACAAACACTAAGGTAAAAACTTGTATTCCATGTTTTCTTATATTTAAGAGACGTAAAAGTGTAATGTGTGAATTAATGCCATAACAGAGTAAATAGAAGCATAAGCCCTTCCTTTACTCTAATTATCTTTTAGTATCTTGCAATACGGTTATAGTAGAAGAAAATTCTAGTTGGTAATATTCTTATCTTTGCTGATTTTCAGAAGATGACTTAGCCTATGTTAGTTTGTATCCAGACTTGGATACAAGATTTACTCTGGATATCTCAAAGATTTCCAGCATAAGAAGTATCAGCTAAGAAACTCAACCACAATTCTTTGAATATGCTTCTGGTACTAAACCATCTACGAAGGGTTCAGGAAGCAGCTGTTTGCTCAGCACGTTAGTAAAAACCTCAGGCGATTGTGGAACCACAACAACTTGCTATAAGGATACCGTCTCTTAGAATAGCATGGACACTTAAGATAAATATTGCATATTTTAATCAGTACCAAAAGCATCATTTGTCACATTTGCCTGTACAGGTTATTTTATAGTTTTAGATATTAAAATTGGAATGTCCTTAGGTCCCAATTTCTTTAATCCTATTAATCCATTTGTCTTCATAGCATATTAGGCCAGTTTCTTAGAGACCTAATAAAAACATTAAAAGATGTAGTTGCTGTAATCAAATGTTAATCAAGGCATTTAAAAGGTAAGCATTTGAAGCATCACATTTAATTTAGTGCATCTCCTTATTATTAAATCTGTAGTTATTGAAGCATTTAAAGAAAAACAGTGTGGTATAAAGAACTGGACGAAATTCAGAAGACTTGGGTTATGGCCCTTTATCTGCTGACTTTGCAGCCTTTAATAAATAAGTTAAATTATTTGGGGTTAGTCTTTTCATGTGTGAAATGAAGAAGTTGCCTTACTGTCTTTTAGTTCTATAAGTATGGTTCAGTAGCTTAATCTTTTAATGGTGGTCTTCCTCTCAGTTTAAGCTGAATATGTAAATTAGTATGCCTGACCTATTGATAGGAGGGCAAACACCAGAAAACCAGACCTTGATGTTATTGTAGGCAAAACAAGATCATTTTACATTTTTCACTAGATTCTAATTGTTAAACAAATATGATTCTACTGTTGTCAATATTTTCAAACATTGTTTAACATCTCTAAAACAAGTAGCTTCTGTTTTTTGTTTTTTTTTTTTAAGAGAAGCCAGTGGGAGTCCACTTAAGCACTTAACAGTAAGTGGTTGTTTTCTGTGGGCTGAAATCTGATAACTTTAATAACAAAAAATTAAAATAAGCATTTGCTCTAACTTAAACTATTAATGTTAAATTCTGTATTTGACATTTAAATTTTAAGGAGTTAAGATGGATATCACATGATGAATATCTTACTTATCAAACTCCCTAAATGAATGGAATTTCCTTTTCATTCCTTTTAAATATGGCCAAATGCTTTTTTAAAATAATTTTTAGTTCTAATCATATAATATCTACCTAAATAACCTATCACCAAGTTTAGTTTTAGGAGGCAGTAATTTCAAGCATTTATAATCATCTTGAAAATTATTTTAATTTAGTGAAAGAAACCAAAGGCCATTCAGAAAATAGTTCTTGACCAGAATTGATTTTTTTTTAAAATTTCTCCTTAAAGGTGCTATTTTCAGCAACTTGACTCTTCTTTTGTTTGAAACCTCTGATTAAGAATTATTACATTTCTGACCACTTTACTCAATAGTCTATACAACAAAAATAAATAAATAAATAGTAGGAGTAATAGCAGCAGTAAATATTTTATTTAATCATTGATTGGTCTTTTGAACCTGAGACGTTTTGGATCTTTTTTTGGGGGTTGCTCAGGTAAAACCTCAGTTCCAGGAGATTTTAAGACTGTCTGAAGAAAACATTGGTAAGTTCATTCATTATTACTTTTAAAAACAATTTAATTTCTTTACTCAGAAAAAATACTATATTCAGTATATGTAAATTGTGTAAAATGAATTAGCAAGTACAATTGAAAAGGAAAATTTATATTATGGAGTTCTTGGTTTTACAATGTGTCACATCTAGTATCCTTCCCATAAGATAGAAGTGATGTTAATCCTTGTCAACTTAATTGTAAATAACCACCTTCATTTTAACCAAATTGCCCTGAGGCTGAGCCTCTCAAATTGGATTATTGTACTCTTAGAGGTTTGAAGTGGCATATTGAAGATGCTAAAGATTACAAAATAGCAGCATCTAATTCCTAATTAGCTATTTAAAACATTTAAATATTAAAACAAACATAATGGAAAAAATAAAAGATATGCATGTTTTTAAAAAGAAACATGAGATTTTAAAGAAAGTACAGGCTTAAATGGGCAGCCCCAGCCCTTTGTTGACGTTTTCACTCATTTGTCTTAAGAAGTCTATTTACGGGACCATTAGCCTAAGATCTTATTTGTGTGTGGATATTGTGGTCCTGTGTATTCTAGTTTCTAGAAATAAATGGTGGAAAATGTTAGAAGAAATACATAGCATACCTCCCCTTTTTAACTTGGTTGATTTGAATGTGTGGATAATTCTTATCTAAATTCTACCTTAGTGATTTCATTTGAGTGGCCTAGAAAATATTTTTGGCTGTCCTCAGAGGTAGTTAGAGAATGATTAAGTGAATTCTTTTCATTTCAATCTCTTTTTATATAATAGTTATAGGGCATGTACTTATGGTTGGGTGCTTTCCGCTCTCTCCCTGCTTTACTTAGCCTGACTCCTCTCTCCTCAATGAAAATAATCAGGGCCTGTCTAGCTGAAAACCCTATCGAGGATGCAAGAAGGGCTCTGGAATAGGCCAGAACTGGAAACTAGATAGAATCTCTTATCTGGAAGCAGATTAAATATCATATATGTAGGTACCTGCTTTTAGCTGAGTGCCTTTACATTTTGCTAAACACTGCAAATGGAAAGCATAGAAATACAGGAAGACCTGCCTGTATGGGTACTTGGGACAATCCTAAAAAAAAGCTCTGATTTCTGATTGTGAAAGTAGGAGTATTGCATCTCATTTTGGTTGTTAAAGTTATTTCCCAGAAATGTTTATGGTAACGGAAGCATTAATGTGTATTTTACAACAACCAGTAGAAATGAGTTTTAATCACAATATTTTCCAAAGATGATAATATTTATTTGTAACTTGATAAACAGTTGCAATTTTAAATATAATTGCATTGTGACTTTTTTCTTTAAACTTAAAACATACTTGGATTTTTAAAATTATTTTAATGATTTTAGATTCCTCAGCAGGAAATGGGGTCCTCACTAAAGCTACAGTCCCCATTTATGCAACGGGAGTCCTTACATGTTATACTCAGGTAAGGGAAAAATTCTTATTTTCCAGGAAAAGTACTTTCTAATTAGAAAAATATCTAATATAATGTCTTAATGTGTGTATATAAGTGAAAATCTTATCCATAAAGGAAAGACAAATTTATTAATTCGTTTTGTTCAATAAATAATTTATAATGGAGAGCATATTTGAATAATAAGGCTCTTAGTAAAATCTCAATTGAACAAATAAATTTAGAGATTTTGTGCTTTTTGATATTCTGTTAGAAGTATTAGATTGCACTTATGTAGCACAGTTTCTTTATATTTTGTAAGTTTTTCATAAATGACAGAGCACATGTATTAGATGAAGCAAACTACAAAATGCTGTGCAATATTATACTTTATCATTGTTTTTAGCAAAGTACTTTTTTTTTTTTTTTTTTTTTTTTTTTTTTTTTTT